GCGGGGCCCTGCGCGGGGGCCGCCCCCAGCGCTGCGCTTCATGGAGCGGCCGGGGCTCGGCCGCCCGGGGCAGCGCGATCCTGCGGGGCCCTGTGAGCCCCCAGCGCCGCGGCACGATGGTACGCAGGGCCCTGCCTGTCCCCCCGCTTATCCGCCCACCTGCCAGAGCTGCCCTTCGGAGCGCAAGGCCCTCGGGATTAGGTGCACCGGCTGGAGAGACCCGGCCCCTCCCCCGGCTTCATGGAGCGGCCGGGGCTCGGCCGCCCGGGGCAGCGCGATCCTGCGGGGCCCTGTGAGCCCCCAGCGCCGCGGCACGATGGTACGCAGGGCCCTGCCTGTCCCCCCGCTTATCCGCCCACCTGCCAGAGCTGCCCTTCGGAGCGCAAGGCCCTCGGGATTAGGTGCACCGGCTGGAGAGACCCGGCCCCTCCCCCGGGGTCCCAGACCCCATCTGCTGGGTCCTCGCAGGCCGGGAGTGCGGCGATGTGGCGCGGCTTGGGGGTGAAATTCCTGGGGTGGGGGCGCAGGCGCGGGAGGCCGAGATTGCTGGACGCTAGGGGAGGGGAGCACTTCTTTGCTCCTGGGTGGCGCCGCCCTGGGGCTGGGTGATGGGGGGGGAAGGGGGAATCGGATTCCCGCCCGGGCCTTGGGCCACGTGGGCGCTGCAGCCACCCAGCCTGGAGATAGGAATGGCTTGCGCGCCGAGGGCGGGGGTCTCCCATATTCACGCAGGAGTGGAAACGCCTGTGTGACCTTGGGCCGGTCTCAAGCCTTCTCTGAATCTATTTCTCAGGGAAAGAGAGGACACCCCTTCACTACAGGAGGCGTCCAGAGGTCAGGAGCCTTTACTCCTGCTGGGCCTGGGCTCCCCTACCATTGCCCAGGGATGACCTGGTGGCCTGGAAGTAGGGGGTGTATGACTGCCCCAGATTACACCAGGTAGCCCCAACAGGTGTTTCTTTTGGATGAGGGGAGCTGCAGCTAGCATGACCAAGTGAAGGGAGGCCGCACAGCTGGTGGGCACACAGCTGGGCCCTGGCACCCAGCTGGCAGCATCCCTGAGCAGACTGGGATAGAGTTTAAGAATGCACAGGTTCCAGTAGGGTTCAGGCGGCCCTTCCCAAGTATGTGGAACCTGGAGGGCACCATAATGGAAGAGTGGGGGGCCCAGCCCTGTGGTCTGAGGTGGGTTACCCCACAGACAATTCCTATGCAGGCCTTTCCCTCCTGCGGTCAAGCCCCTCCATTGTGTGGACAACGGTGAGCTGCAGGTGCAAGCCAGGGAGGAGGCGGTCACAGAAGGTGTGGTGGCCCTGTCTGGATGCTGGGATGGTTCCCAGTCCATCCATGCCTCCCTCCATCCCCCACTTCAGAAGTCACTAAGGCATCTGACCACTTGGAGTGTCCCAGCCAGAAGGAGGAAATGGCTGAGCACAGCCAGAGGGAGGGCAACACTGCCTCTCTGGGCCTCAGTTTCTCCATCTCTGCAGCAGGAATTGGTCCCAGGGGGTGAATCAGAGTGAGTCAGAAGAAGGAGAAGGGCGGAGCTCAGTGCCACGTCCCAGCTCTACTGGCCAGCAGCCCTGGGACAGACTCCTGAGTGGTGCAGAGAACTCAAGGAAGGTGAAGCACAGAGTGGGTACACCCTAGGCTACTGGCTGGGAGGGCAAAGACCAGGTAGGCTGGGAGCAGGTGGCTCCGTAGGGCTCACTCCCAGCCAGGAACAGCTTCTCCCTCAGATGACCCCAGCAGTCCTGCCAGTCTGGCCTACTCACTGCTGCTTGGAGAAGAAGGTTCTGACGAGGGGGCACAGTTCATCCTTGGGCCTCAGAGGAAGAGGTGCTGGGCTTGTGGCCCTGGAATAAGTCAGCACTCAGATGTGCGGAGCTCTTATCCAGCTAGGCTGGGTCTGAGGAGCACCCAAAGCTGGCCACTGTCTCCTAGGCCTTGTGCAGAAGGACAGGACAGGTTTGTCTGTGCCACCTACCTTCTGGGAGTCTGCTGTGACGGAGCCAGCTAGCTGAGCAAGACCCTGTTCTGGGCCCTTCATGGGTTCTGAATGTGCTTGAAGGCCTGGCAGTCTGATCTGGTGGCCTCTAAGGTCCCCAGGGTTCTCTAGGAGGTGCAGTGTTCAAGATAGGCACATCCTGGGGTTTCTGGTCCCTGGTCTCTTGCTAGGAACACAGTAAGTAAACAGAATGTGGCTCATCTTCTCCTCCCCCCAACCCTGGGCACATGGAGCTGCTGTAGTCAGGGCAGAGGGGCCTCCTCCAACAGGGCAGGGTGAGAGGAGTGGCAGGCTGAGCCTGGATGCCTTCACCCTGGGGTCTTTCACAGCCCTTAGGGCCTGGGCACAGGGGCCTTTCCCAGCTACTATCCAAGAGACGAGCCCCCAGATACAGCCTGGGCACTGCAGCAGGGCCAGGGTGGCTTCCACTCCTCGGGGACTTGGAAAGGATGAGCTTGTTTCTATTAGTGGGGTGGGAGGGATCCCCCAGGGCTCAGGACACACAGGAACAGATGGAAGCTAAGCAGAGCCATAGTGAGTAAGGATCCTGGAGTGACCTCTGATCCTCCTGTGTTTGGGACTCGAAGACAGCCCCACATCCCAAGAAACCCCAAATTCCCCACCAACCTGGGTGGGTGATCCATACAGCCCCTGTCCCTTCCCTTCCCAGTGTAACTTGTTCTATACATGCATAGAGAAAGAGGCGAAGGAGGCCCGGAGTGACCACCCAGCCCCGAGTCTGGCCTTCAGCCACTGGTCAGAGGACACTTTGCAGCCCTTCTCTCCAGTTGGCATCTGATGGATGGTCAGGAAATGACTTCCACTTGGGAAGGCAGGCTGCAAGGGTGGGCAGTGACTGGCACTCACCTTTCCTGTATCCTGACCCCACAGTTGCTGGTTGAAAAGACAACCGACTCCCCGGCGGCAGAGTTCTCGCTGGTGGAGGACGTGGCCCTGCACTTTGCCTGCTTGATGGGCCGCCTGAATGAGCAGCGCCTCTTCCAGCCAGACCTGTGTGACGTGGACCTGGTCCTGGTGCCCCAGCGCAGCGTGTTTCCTGCACACAAGGGCGTGCTGGCTGCCTACAGCCAGTTCTTCCACTCGCTCTTCACACAGAACAAGCAGCTGCAGCGCGTCGAGCTCTCCCTCGAGGCGCTGGCACCCGGAGGCCTGCAGCAGATCCTCAACTTCATCTATACGTCCAAGCTACTGGTGAACGCGACCAACGTGCACGAGGTCCTCAGTGCCGCCTCCCTCCTGCAGATGGCTGACATTGCTGCCTCCTGCCAGGAGCTGCTGGATGCCCGCTCCTTGGCACCCCCGGGCCCCGTGGCCCTGGCCCAGCCAGCCACCAGCTGTGCCCCAGTACCTGCAGCGCCCTACTACTGCGACATCAAGCAGGAGGCAGATGCTCCGGGCCTGCCCAAGATCTATGCCCGTGAGGGCCCTGACCCCTACTCTGTGCGTGTGGAGGATGGGGCAGGGACTGCTGAAGATGCAGGCCCTGCCACCCCTGGGCAAGTGCAGCCACTCTTCAAGGAGGAGAAGGAAGGGGCACCTGAGGAGGCAGGGGTCCCTGGTGGCCTGTGCAAGCTGGAGGGTGGAGAGGGGCTGGAGCCGGAACTGGGTGCCTCAGGTACCTATGGGCGCCAGGAGCAATCACAGATCATTGTGGAGGTGAACCTCAACAACCAGACTCTGCATGTGTCCACTGGGCCCGAGGGCAAGCCTGGATCTGGGGCCAGTCCAGCCACCATGGTACTAGGCCAGGAGGATGGGCTACAGGGACACTCAGATGATGAGGAGGAGGAGGAAGAGGAAGAGGAGGAAGAGGAGGGAGGAGGGAGTAGAGGCAGAGAGGAGGAAGAAGAGGAGGAGGAAGAAGAAGAAGAGGGAGGTAGCCAGGGAGAGGAGGAAGATGAGGAGGAAGGACCCAGCGAACAGGAGGATGAGGATGAGGAGGATGGGCCCAGTGAGCAGGATGCAGAGAGCTCAGAGACAGGTGAAGCTGAGGGCAGGCAGGGCCCTGCAGGTCCTGGGGGGCACCAGGGCAGCCAGGTGGACCCTCCTTTGCACAGCCGCATGGCCACACGGTCCCGTGGGGAGAACGCCCGGCAACGAGTCACCCCTGAGCCTGAGGAGGTAGGGCGTCGAGGTGGAAAGAGGCCCAAGGCCTCTGGAGCGGCTCCAGCACCCCAGGCCCCTGATGGGCTAGGGGCCAAGGTGAAGCTGGAGGAGAAACAGCACCACCCATGCCAGAAGTGCCCTCGGGTCTTCAACAACCGCTGGTACCTGGAGAAGCACATGAATGTGACCCACAGCCGCATGCAGATCTGTGGCCAGTGTGGGAAGCGTTTTCTGCTGGAGAGCGAGCTGTTGCTGCATCGGCAGACAGACTGTGAGCGCAACATTCAGGTGGGCCTCGCTGCCCAGACAGTCCCCAGGGCTAGGCCAGGCCCAGGCTCTCAGGGTGAGGAGAGCTCAGAAGAATATCAAGGGGAACTTCCTGGGAGAGGGAGAGAGTACTGGGCTCTGGTTCATAGAGTACAAGCAGAGGATTGGAGTGGCACCCTTGCCAGGGCACAAAAGGCAACATGGGGGGAAGGGACATGAGTGAGTAGTTATCTGAACTAGAGACAGGGACAGCCACTGCTGAGGAAGGGAGTCAGTGTTTTAACAGATCCCTAGGGCTGCAGGGCCTCCCAAGCTGTTTGCACAGGTCATGAACTACAAGGAAGCATATGCAGCAGAGGTTTGCCTGGAGGGGGCACCACTTCCCACAGAGCCACTATGTATGCAGTAGATAGTCCCATCTGGAGGAAACTCCCCGCATTCAACCCTGATGACGCTAGGCACCCTGGGTCTGGGGAATACAGGCTGGATGAGAAATCTGGGAAGAAGTGTGCATGGGGAAGTTGGGCTGGCTGCCAGAACTTGGGCTAGTCTGCATCTGCCTGTGCTGGCCTAGTCATTCAGAGAGGGGGCTAGTCAGTCTCTTCCAGGTGGCTTTTACCTTTTCTGGCCCAGGAAAAAGGGAAAGAGGATAGGTAGGTGGGTGCTAATTGCCTGCATTAATTGCTAATTGCAATGCCTGTGGGGCAAGTGTTATCCTGGTGACCTGCCCACCCCTCTCAGCACCTGTTCCTGTTGTCTGCTCCTGGGCTTCCCTTCAGCTCTTCTGTGGCACCCCAAGCCGCCTCAAGGTAGAGAAGTGTGTACTCCCTCCTCCTGGGCATCCTGAACCTGGCCTCCAGCCTCTGGGGATGTTCCACTACATGAGCAAGAGGGGTCCGGGAGAGCCACCCCCAATCTTTGCCACCCTCCATTACCTGAGGGGGACTGCCTATCCCTACCCCCGACAGCATGTAGAGCCCCCACCCTTGAGGACCTCCACGTAGCAGGGTGTGGGGATGTAGCAGTGCCATGACGTCAAGTGAGCTCTCCATCAACCTGTACAGTGGCCACACCTGACATAGCATGCAGGGCCTGATGGGAGCAGGTAAAGCCTGGGGAAGGCCTGAACCTGAGGGGATTCCCAGAAGAGGTGTCCCACGGAAGAAGGGCCCAGCTGCTGGGTGGGTGGATAAGTGTGGAGGGAGTTACAACCCCAGCTCTAGGAATGTCAGAGCCAACCTCACCAGCACTCTCTAGGTGGGGAAATTGAGGCTGTAGATGGGCCGCAGCCAGTCCCAGGTCCCACCCAGAGCCCCTATTTGCCTTCCCCGATAGTGCATGACCTGTGGCAAAGCCTTCAAGAAGCTCTGGTCCCTGCATGAGCACAACAAGATCGTGCACGGCTATGCAGAGAAGAAGTTCTCCTGCGAGATCTGTGAGAAGAAGTTCTACACCATGGCCCATGTGCGCAAGCACATGGTTGGTGAGTCGGGGCCAGCATGGGTGTGGGCTGAGGATGGGGCCAGCTGCAAGCTGTGCTGCAAAGGACTCTGCATCCAGGTGGAAGGGACTGGGAAGGATTGGGAGGTTTGCAGTGACCTAGATGGACTCTGGGATCGGGCCTGCCGCGAACAGATGGGCAGGTTGCCCAGTACACCAGAGTACCTCAACAAGATGGCAGATGGGAATTCAGCTGGCACACTGCTGACCAGGCTGTGTATCCTGTCATGGTGTTGTGTCCACCCAAGGAAAGGAGCACCTTTTCCTAAATTACACAGGGTGCCATATAGCCTGGCATAGGCCCTGCCTCTATGTGATGATCTCTGGACCTCTCATTCTTTCTCACCTTCTGGCCCTCAGGGCCTCAGGCTTCTCTAAGTGTAGCCTCCCCCAGGGGTCACAGCTAGACATAATAGGGAAGCCTCCCCAAGTGTGTGCTGGCCACCTTACTGTCCCTAGCAAGGCTGCACACCCTCTGGCTAGGTCCAGCTGAGTGTCACTGTCCTGTGGCTGCCCTTCGTTGCCCAGTCTGGGCTCTAAGCTCCAGGGAGGAATAACCAAGGTAGATAGCAGGTCCCTGTCCAGACCTTCCTTTTCACCACTGGAGAGTGTGAACTGGCTGGGACATGGAGGGTCTAGGTCTTAGGCAGGAGCAAACTGGGTAACCAGACTGGTGATCTCTGAGCTTGGGGAGGAGGAAGGGCTGTCTACAGTAGTCCTTCTGTTGGCCCTCAGTATCACTGGACCCAAGGCTGGGGTCTTCACCTTTGGTTTGCCCTTGAGCTCAGTACCACCACCAGTCCCTAGGACAGGGTACGTTTCAGGGCTGCCAGGGGGCAGGTCTGGAGGTGGGCGGGAGGAGAGTTCAAGCAGGTCCCTTTGAGAAGTGACGGCCAGTGCCCTCCCACAGCCCATACCAAGGACATGCCCTTCACCTGCGAGACCTGTGGGAAGTCGTTCAAGCGCAGCATGTCACTCAAGGTGCACTCTCTGCAGCACTCAGGGGAGAAGCCATTCCGCTGTGAGGTGAGCTCTGCCTGCCAGGACACCCACAGGGTAGGGAATTGGGGTACATAGCCCAGAAAGAGCCCTGGCTTTGGCAGTTCCACCCACCCTTAATGCCTCCATACACCTCCACCTTCAGGGAGGGAACTCTGAAGGCCAAGAGGTAGGCAGGAAGGTCAGGGAGGAGTTACAAGTCCAGCTTGGTGGCACTTGCCTGTAATCCCAGCATTGGAGAAGCAGAGACAGGAGGATCAGGAGTTCAAGGTCAGCCTTGGGCATATAGCAAGTTTGAGGCCAGCCTGGACTACATAAGACTTAAAAAACAAACCAGAGGAGGCCTGGGAGACAGTTCAGTCAGTAAAGCACTTTCTTTGCAAGCACAAGGACCTGAGTTTGATCCCCAGAACCCATATTTAAAAAAAATATTTTTTAAAGTTGGTCATGGTGATGCATGCTTGTAACCCCGCTGCTGTGAAAGTGGAAGCAGGCAGATCCCTGGAGCTTGCTGGCCAGCTAGTCTAGCCTAAACCCTGAGTCCCAGGCCAGTGAGAGACCCTGTCCAAAAGAAATAAGGTGGAGGGCACTTGAGCCAACACTGGCCTACACACATACATGTCAGCACACACATGAGCATACTCATGAGCACACAGGGAGCTTGAGGTTGGATTAGCCCCTCTGGAGGGGCCCCGGCAACCTCACTCTTTCCCATAGAACTGCAATGAGCGCTTCCAATACAAGTATCAGCTGCGGTCCCACATGAGCATCCACATCGGCCATAAGCAGTTCATGTGCCAGTGGTGCGGCAAGGACTTCAACATGAAGCAGTACTTCGACGAACACATGAAGACCCACACAGGTGCGCATGCCCCTCTCCACCTGGGCCTCCGTTTACCTCCCGGTCCCGTGACCCTGGGTAGGGTGGGAGCTCAGGCTGCCCGTGACCCCTGCTGCCCCTCCGATCTCAGGGGAGAAGCCGTACATCTGTGAGATCTGCGGGAAGAGCTTCACCAGCCGGCCCAACATGAAGCGGCACCGGCGCACGCACACAGGCGAGAAGCCCTACCCGTGCGACGTATGTGGCCAGCGCTTCCGCTTCTCCAACATGCTGAAGGCACACAAGGAGAAGTGCTTCCGTGTCAGCCACCCGCCACCTGGCGACCCTGCCACCCCTGCCCTGCCCACAGCACACCTGCCGCCCCAGGCTCCGCTCTTCCCTGCTGTGGCTCCTGGCAGTGCCAGACTGGACACCAACTGACCCCCAGTGGGGGCCCTCCTGGCCGGGAACAACAGGGACACAGACTGGGCCTGGGCAGCAGCCTGGTTCCTGCAGGGGTGGCCTAAGGACACACCCCTCACTATGTGGTGGGGTGCAGGCTGGCAGCCCCCCATTTGCCACTTCTTGAAGGCGCTACTCCTTATTTTTGGAAGTAAAGGAAAAGAGAGGGACTGGTTAGCAGCACCCCTCCAGGTGATGGGTGCTGAGTGCAGCAGATACAGGGCAGCAGGTGTGGCTTTGAGCCAGGCGGGGCCTGGGTCAACCTCAGTTGTGCATCCCAACCTCCCTGTGCTCTTAACTTGCTCCCTAGTCTAGGAGGGCTTGGGGGAGAATTTGGGTGCACCCCTGTTGAAGAGTTGTGGACCCCAAAGGGCTGTGGACAGGGAGAAAGGGCCTGATACATGAATGGCTGGGTGGGAAATGGCAGGATGTGAAGACTGTAGACCTCCCTCTGCATAGTGAGGAGTGGGGCTGGTGGGGGCTGGCCCCCATGAGTTTTCCTACTAATATCCCTGCCAGGCAGGTCCAGGGGTCCCCAGCCTGCACCAGGCTTTTGAAGAGCCCCAGATTATGGAGAAGTTACTCCAAGATGTTGGACCTCAGGGTGCTGGGTGGGTAGAGAAGCTGACTCCTCAGCCCCAGCTTCCAGGGTCCTGGAGGTTGAGACCCCAGAGCAAGTGGTTCAGGGTTTCACGGTGCTATCTGTGGGGTAGGGGACAAGGCACTGTCCCTTACTAGCCTTCTTGGCTGGACCTCCCCACCAGGACACTTGTGGGTCTATGTCTGTTCCCCTGAGGCCAGCACGAGGCCTCATCTCCCAGGCCCAGCCACTGCCTGCCCCTTGCTGGCTCTTGGTCCCTCCAGGACTCTGCACTGGCTGGGGTGCCATAGTCCTGCCAGGGAGAGAAGCCAGTATATTTAGGTCCTTATAGGGGCTGGGAGCCTAGCCAGTGCCCAATGCTTGCCCCTGGGAGTCAGGCACTAATAATAGGTGGTCCTTTTCTGTTGTCATTTAATGTCCTTATTCCTGCGTTTAAATGGGAGAAAGGTTCCATAAGCTATGTCCCCTAGTTCCGCTCTCCCACTGTTTATATGCTTCTGTTTGTTAAACTCCGCACCTTATACCCCTTCCCTACCACCTTCCCAGCATGGCTGCACTGGGAAAAGGCCTGTGCCCAAGGAGACTGGCAGAGGGTATTGAAGCCCTCTGACCTCAGAGGCCCATGGCGCTGCGCTGGGACAGAGGGCTGGGGATATTTTAATCATCAATAAACGAAGCACTTTATTCTATACAGATCTGGGCAGGCTCAAGGTACCGCCTGACTTAGCTGTCCTCTGAGCTAGGAGGGACTGAGTGGACAGCATCCTTGTGTACAGACCCTTTCTCAGCCTGGGAAGTCAAGCTGCGAGCACTCTCTCCACCTCCCCTGTGTCTTCTGGGGAGACAGGCAGGCCCCTGTCTGAGAAAGGAATTCGTATTTGACCAGTGGCTCCAGCTCTCCTGCCCAAGGCTGTAGGTCAGGCCTGCCTTTCAGGCTCCTGCTTCTCTGTAGCTCTTCCTCCCCTGGCTCCCTTGATCTCTGGGCTTCCACAATGTCCTCAGGGCCCCCTTTCCTGCCTCTTGCTACTTCTAACCTCTGGCCCCAGTGCCTGGCAGCTCTCCAGAGCTGGCTTACATCAGACCCCCACCCTCCCCCCAAAAAGGCTGACCTCCTCAAGGGGGCTATAGGAGGAGCCATACCAGTTCTCCAACCCTTCCTTGCACCGGGACTTCCCATAGGGCTAGATCCTTGTCACCTGCTGGCCTCTACAAGGCTAGTGACCCTGGTCTTTTAGACCACATTTCACCAAGCAGGAGTCCAAAACAGGCAGGAACTGGAATGAATGAAACATGTCTCTGGAGTGGGGTTTCTTGATTCTCTCCGCCTCCCCCCAGAAGTCAGACAGGGGGCCTGGGCACTGGCTGGATGGATGCTGCAGCTCTGAGTGGGCGCAGCTCGTTTTCTCTCCCCAAGGCCCCTATGTCCTGGTGCTACAAGCTTTCTTCACCCTGGCCCGTGTGGATGGAGCTCCTTACCTGCCGGATGCAATAACAGGAAAATAAATGCCGGCAGAATCAGGGTTCTTGGCTCCCCAGCTTTTACGATTTTTATTTCTTAAGTTATCAAGCCCCTGAATGTTGGTGTGAGGGAACTGGGGCATGGTGGCAACTTCCCAGGCCTGAAGGACAGTGACCTTGAAACTGTCACCTCTGGGCAGACCTCCTGGGTCTCCTGTCTGGCTGGACCTCTAGCCTAGACCTGCCCCTCCTTTGCAGCAATCCAGGCTACTCTGGTCTTGGGACAGCTGGTAGGGAATCTCCATGGAGGCAAGGCAGGCCCTAAGTACAGGGACCACAGCCTCCACCTCCCTCACAGGGGCCTGGGTAGCTGCAGAAAGCCCAGGCGTGTGGCCTCTTGATGCCCGGTTGTTTATGACACTCCACAGCCCCAGGGTGTGTTGTGGGGTACAATAGGCATTTGAGGGAGATAAGCGATGGGGAAATAAACTCAGTACCACTCCCAGCCCTTGGCCCAGCCTCTTCTTTACATCCTTCCACCCTGAGCAAGGGCAGCAAGTGATCCAACAAGCTTGGCACATAAGCCCTGTAGGGCACTTTGAGCATTCATTGATACCCTCTCTCTCCCTCAAGGATGGGCTAGGCTTCCTAGAGCCTGAGCTGAGACCTGAGACCAGAGCAGAAGTGGACCCCATGCTACACCTAGGATTTGGGTCAGATACAGAGGGACTAGGGCTACTGAGGTCACAGCACCAAAGGAGGTACTCATGGGAATCCAGGGTCCCTTGCAGATGTGGCATGAAGTTAACAGGAGCCTGGGGCAGCAGGGTCAAGCCTCTCCTGTAGCCAGCTCAGCCCTGGGGAGGCTCTAGTCCTTCCTTTGGTCCCTTCAGTCTCTGGGGGGCTCTGAGAATTGGGCATCTCACAGGCACTTTCTCCCACTCATACTCTGTTTCATGGAATTCTAGGCCCTGGGGACATGAGTGGATGAATCTCCACTGCTACTAAACACTACTCCCAGTAAACAGAGTGCCTCAGACAGGCCTGGAGGACTGTTGGCTATGCAGGTTCCTGGGGGTGGGGGGCGGGAGGCTGCTGTCTCTCTGCACAACCCTGATTCCTCAAAAGAAATGGAGGTGCACTCAAGATATCCCCAGAAGCTAGATATGGTAGAACATGCCTGTAATTCTAGTACTTGAGAGGCAGACAAGAGAGGATCTGTTCAAGGATCATACATACATACATAGAGAGTTCCAGGTCAGCCTGGACTACAGAATTGACACCCTATCTCAAAAAAGCCAAGCAACAGGTGGAAAGATGGCTCAGCAGTTAAGAGCATTGGCTGATCTTGCAGAGAACCTGGGGTTGGTTCCCAGCACCCACTTTGCAGCTAACACCTGTCTGTAACTCCAGTTCCAAGGAGATCCAGTGCCCTCTTCTGACCTCTATGGGCATTGCATACACTTGCTACACCTACATACATATAGGGAAAACACTCATACACATAAAATACAAATAAAAAAATATGGCCAAACAAAAGACACTCTCAAAACAAGGCTATGGCAGGCCTGGGCTTCCTGAGGCTATTCTGTGTACCCCCCTTCCTCCTCTGTGTATCCTTTGTCCTTCAGCCTAGTACTCCCTGTTTTCACCCTCCAAGACATTGCAGATGATTTCTCACAGGACCTCTGGTTGCAGCTGCTGGGAGTTGCAGGCTACAGGTTTTGCTCTTCTGGCCCAAGTGGCTCTGCCTCACGTCATGTCCTAAAGCCTGTGTATGGGACAGCTATGGACTGCTGTGCATGCTTAGCTCTGAGGCATGGTAGTATCAATGGGGGGAGAAAGTACTCACCTGACTTTGTGGTACCCTGGAGACTTCTTTCCCCCACCTTCACGATAATGGCTTTCTAGCTGTGACTGGTAAGTCAGGTAAAGCTGGGTCATGCTTCTGTGACAAGCCACACCCACCTCAGTGTTATAACACCCATAGCCCTGGGAGGCCTCTGGGAGATGCATTGGTGACCCCAAAAGACATTGTTTTGACCTGTGGCAAAGCCATATGACTTGGGTCTCCAGAATGATGAGCCAGGGAAGGAGCAGTGTGCTGCCATTCAAAGGTGACATATCCCTCTGTTTCTATGTCATTATCTACAATTCCATGGCTAGGCTCTATGTCAAGGTGTGGAAAGGGAACCCTGGTGAGCCACTGAAATAAGGAGAGTTCTGGAAATCCAGTGGGGTAGCATGCTCTCTCCTGCACCATGGCCTTGAGTCTCCTAAGGCCAGGCTGTCAGGCAGTCTGCCTTGCTGAGAGCAGATAACTGGGAACTGAGGAAGGATTGCTTTAGCCCAGGAGTTTGAGGCCAGTTTATAATACAATATAATGAGACCCCATCTCCAAATGAATACTATTACAGGAGAGCACTATGCAAACTGGTAAGGGAGAACATCAATCAGTGGTCCAATCCCAGCTTCAAGGCCCAAAAACCACATCAATGACTGGCACAACAAACAAGGTTGGTGTAGTACTGGCACTTTTGTTTTTTGTTTGTTTTTTGGTATTTTTGAGACAGGATCTCCCTGTAGCCCCAGCTGTCCTGGATTCCTTATGGAGACCAGGCTGGCCTTGAACTCACGGAGACCCACTGCCTCCCAAGTTCTGGGATTAAAGGTGTGGACCACCACCCCCGGCAGTAGTGGCACTTATCTTGGGGGTAACCCAACAGCTACCTGATTGGACTTAAAGCCCACTCAATGGGAGGAAACTCATGTGTGGTACTGTAAACCTAGCCAAATACACATAGCTGGAGAGGTCATAGATCTTTTTTATTTTATTTTATGTGTATGAGTATATTGCCTGCATGTATGTGAGTGCACCCGTGTCATGCAGTGCCGTGGAGGTCAGAAGAGGGATTCGGATTCCCCCGGAACTGGAGTTAAGGATGGTTCGTAGCAGCCATGTGGGTGCTGGGAATCGAACCCGGGTCCTCTGCAAGAGTAGTCAGTGCTCTTAACTGCTGAGCCATCTCTCCAGCCCCGAGGTCATAGATCTTAGAGAAAGTCCCAAGGCTGTCATATCCCTAGACAAATGTAATTTCTTACTATGTGTAAAATATGGACCTTAAATTTACAGACAAGTATCTCAGTCACCACCCATCAAAGAAGCTACTTTTTCAACAGACAGAGATTATTACAGAGTTCTACAATTGGTCATACACAGAGATTATCTGTGAATTTTCCAAGCCTAAGTGGCACATTTATGATATAACTGCTACACCTAAGGTCCATAGAACATAGAACAAGGGATAAAGAGAACACTAATGCATCTTTCAGTTCTCATCACTGAAACTCTCTCATGCAACACAGGGCCTGGAACACAAAAGGTCACAAATGGCCTAAACATAGAGAATAATCTACAGAGTGTGGGTCCTTGGACAGGACTCCTATATTAAACTCCGCCCACCCAGGGCTTAGGGACCACTGCGGAAGGGTAGGCAGAAAGATTGTAAGAGCCAGGGACGAGACACATGGACCATATGGAAAGAGAGTCCTACAGGCTCCTGGGACCCTTCTCACATGAACCTGTAGCAACGGTGTCAGCATGCACAAGACCCATGAAAACTCAAGCAGACAAAAACCCAGCACAGAACTGTAGAAATGGACAGCAGGCCCAAATCTTAGTCAAAGAATCATTGACAGCTGATTACTGCTGGATGAGGAAGAGCTGGTCTTCTTAAAGGAAAGGACTCTAGCTAGGCTGACTAGACCTCAGTGGATGAACTTGCAGTGAGGGACATCTGGGGACACTAACTTGACATGATAGGCCTTAACACAAATGACAGAATGTATGAACTCCAGAAGGGGGTGGGTATGGGACCAATGGGGAAGGAGGTATAAAGATTAAGACGTTCTGTATGAAATACACAAAATTAAAAACTTTAAAATGAATGCAATTAAAAAATTATCCTTGGGGTTGGAGAGATGGCTCAGCAGTTAAAAGCACTAACTGCTCTTGCAGAGGACGCGGGTTCTATTCCCAGCACCCACATGGCAGCTATGAACCGTCCTTAACTCCAGTTCCAGGAGAATCCAAAGTTCTCTTCTGACCTCCATGGCATTGCACGACACAGGTGTACTCACATACATGCAGGCAATACATTCATACACATAAAATAATAAAAAAATTATCCTGGTGTATGTGTGTGAATGTGTGTGCACATGAGCACACATTCATGTGTGTATACTGGCATGCATATGTCACAGCATATGTGTAGAGGTCAGAGGATAACCTTGGGTGTGGGTTCTCATCTTCCACCTTTTACTGAGGCAGGATCTCTTCTTGTTTTGCTGCTTCACAGGCCAGGCTAACTGGCCTATCAGCTTCCAGGCACTTTCCTGTCTTCCATCTGCCCATGGGATTACATGCATGCAGCACCATACTGGTTTTTATGCATCACTGGAGATCTAACCCAAGGCTGTGTGCATGCTAAGCAAGCACTCTACCAACTGAGACAAATCCCCAGTCTGAAAATGTAAAATATAAAGTGTCAGGGAAGTTGGTGATAAAAGAGAAGAACAGTAACTCCCAAGGCTTTGTCTGGTTGGAGGTGAGGAGGAGCCCACTCAGTATCCACAGAGGACAGTCTTGGGACCTCTGCAGAGTAGAAAGAAGACAGTCCTATCCTCCCATATGGTGGTGAGGCTCCTGCTGCATCTCCCTGCACTGGTCAGTGCCTGGAATTGTGGAGGCATGTGGGTTCTGTTTGTGACAGGAATGAGCCTATCTGCACTGCTTTGTTGCTAGGTAGGGTCAGGAACCAACAGGCCCAGGTCTTCTTCTATTAGAGTCAGAGACAGATCCATTTAAAATTGCTATGGCCTCTGCTTGTGACTTTCCCTACCCCTTCCCTCTTTCTCTGACCATCTCATGTCCTATATAACTACGTATTTGTGGCACTCCATTCATGATGTTACCCCCAGTAGAAACAGTATTCATGACTGATTCATTTACTGTTGAACTGTCAGCATCCACTACCATGTTGATAGATGAATGAGACAAATATGGAATAGTCTAGTGTGAAGCCTGTTAGGGGTGAGCTCTGTGGGATCCATCATAAACCCAAAATATATCATTAGGTCATCTGATAAATATAACCATTTTTAGTTATTATCTCATCTGGGTCTTTAGAAAGTGAGACCATGATCATAGACATTTTTGCTACCTTGGGGAAGGTCCCCAAAGTCTTTCCAGGTCAGCACATCTGCTCTGGCTCTGCCATGTGGCAACTGTGTGACCTGGCTAAGTGGATAGTCTCTCAGAACTGTGTCTCCTCACTGGCGCTATTTTCTGGGAATGTCCCACAGTCCAGAACTGGGCTGGAAACCATCCCTGCCTGCCCTAAGCTGGTCCTTGAAGTTGCTGCAAGGGGGCCAGGACCAGGCATTGTGACCCTCTAAGACATGCTTGTGATGAACAAGTGACCATCAGCAGCTTTACTCATGAGGGACAGACAGTGACGTTTCTGGAATCACAAAAGGAGAGGTGACTCAGTCTCAACCCTGCCCCCCCATCTTTTCTCCTATCCCCTCACCAAGCCCAAGGCTATAAACAACTGACTCAGAGGCGTGGTGGGGGGAATGCTCTATAACAGCTCATACCAGTGTCCCAGGGCTAAATTTAACCCACAGCTGCAGGCTTTGGCACTTGGGGAATGAGATAATCTTGGAGACTGAGACTGATGTGTGTGCAGGGGCAGGAGGGAGTGGGCAGGAGTCCTCAGTCTCAACCCCAACTCCTCAGACCACAGACAGGCCACCAGGGCCCCAAGGCCAGTAACAGACTAAGCCTAAAGTAGAGCAAGGACTATGAACACAGACAGGCAAAACCCTTAAACACCAGTGAAATTCTCACTTTTGGGACACTATACTTCAGAAAGTCATTCTCCTAGACTATTAAAACACCTAGAAGAGTAGAATCCTAGGTGACTTATTTTCTAGCATGCCTGATGTTTCAACTGAGTCTTCTTGTGAACATGGCATCTCAGGGCCTCTGATCTTCAGCAGAGGCCCTTAAAATCTTAACTCCTCTCCTTCATTGAAGGAAGGGGGAAACTGAGGCTCAACAGAGGAGAGGGAAGGACTCAGAACTAGGACAGAGGAAATGGCCTTCCCATTTTGAATGTGAGGCACCAAGTTCCCTAAACCATGAATGCCAAGCCCAAGTTTGCCAAGCAGGAAACCCAAACACACTGTAAACAGGAGTGGTCACAGTTAGATATGTTCCTGGAAGGCAGGATGTGAACATATAGGCCAAGAAGGCCAGTGGAAGGAGAATCCTAAAGAGGGCCTATCTAAGGCTTCCCCCTCCATGAAACGAGGCCTACAACCTGAGTGCAGCTTACCCATATGGGCATCTTTAACTAAGGAATCCATAGGCAAGAGCTTCTTGGATGCTGGTGGGAAATGAGGCAGTGAGACCTTCCTGTTTCTAGAAGAGCCCAGACATACTCCACTACCAGGTCATGAATCCCTAGTGCTGAGTCAAGGCTGCTCAGAAGAGAGGGCCTCTGTACAGCTGTCCCCTGTGTGTCATGTGCCAGAAGTCAGGCGGCTCCTCTTACAGGGTTGGGGCAACCTCTATATATAGCAGAGCGGCAGACAGTTGCTAGTCAGTGTGGTCCAGCAAGAAAGTCGTAGTGTGTGGAGGGGCCCTTGACACTGCCACTGCCTTCTAAGGTGCCCACCATGACGCTGGGTTTGGAGCAGGCGGAGGAGCAGCGGTTGTACCAGCAGACACTCCTGCAAGATGGCCTCAAGGACATGCTAGACCACGGCAAGTTCTTGGACTGCGTGGTGCGCGCGGGCGATCGTGAATTCCCGTGCCACCGTCTGGTGCTGGCAGCCTGCAGCCCCTACTTCCGAGCACGCTTCCTGGCTGAGCCAGACAGCGCGGGCGAACTGCGCCTGGAGGAGGTGTCCCCCGACGTGGTGGCCCAGGTGCTGCACTATCTGTACACATCGGAGATCGCGCTGGACGAGGCGAGCGTGCAGGACCTGTTCGCCGCGGCGCACCGCTTCCAAATCCCGTCTATCTTCACCATCTGTGTGTCGTTCCTGCAGAAGCGCCTGTGCCTGGCCAACTGCCTGGCGGTCTTCCGCCTCGGCCTTCTCCTGGACTGCGCGCGCCTGGCTGTGGCCGCACGTGACTTCATCTGCGCGCGCTTCCAGCTGGTGGCACGCGACAACGACTTCCTGGGACTCTCAGCCGACGAGTTGATCGCCATCATCTCCAGCGATGGCCTCAACGTGGAGAAGGAGGAGGCGGTGTTCGAGGCAGTGATGCGCTGGGCGGGTGGCGGTGATGCCGAGGCACAGGCTGAACGCCAGCGCGCGCTGCCCACTGTCTTCGAGAGCGTGCGCTGTCGCCTGCTGCCTCGCGCCTTCCTGGAGAGCCGCGTGGAGCGCCACCCTCTCGTGCGCGCCCAGCCGGAGCTGCTGCGTAAGGTGCAGATGGTGAAGGATGCGCACGAGGGCCGCATCACCCTGCTGCGCAAGAAGAAGAAGGAGAAGGGAAAGGAGACAGCTGGGGCCAAGGAGGCCAAACAGGGCACCGCCGAAACCAAGGCTGAGGATGATGAGGAACGCGTGCTACCAGGAATCCTCAACGACACCCTGCGCTTTGGCATGTTCCTGCAGGACCTCATCTTCATGATCAGCGAGGAGGGTGCCGTGGCCTATGATCCAGCTGCGAATGAGTGCTACTGCGCCTCCCTGTCTACCCAGATCCCCAAGAACCACGTCAGCCTGGTGACTAAGGAAAATCAGGTCTTCGTGGCTGGGGGTCTCTTCTACAATGAGGACAACAAAGAGGACCCCATGAGTGCTTACTTCCTGCAGGTGCCCAGGCTGAGGGGTTGGGGAGCCTGGGACAACAGCTGGTGCTGGGTTCTGGGTTCTGGGAGACAACTTAAGCACATGGGAGGGAGCTGTGTCTACTTGGGTAATGACATTGCCCTTTGAGTGGCAGCCACTTTCCTGAATCAGGTTAATGCTCACAATTAGTTGCTAAAGAGCTGTGTAAGTTTGGTGTCCTGCTTGGGGGTACTAGGCCCAACATGCAGGGATCTGGAGAGCTGGAGGCCCTGCACAAGTCACAGACAGTGAGAAGGATCTGGGGCAAGGCCTTGGTAGGAGGACCAGAACTGGAGTCTGGAACACCATTTATCACATAGAGCATTCTGCCTTCCTCTCTCACTGTATAGGCATTGAAACTGAGGCTCTGGAGGGACCCAGAGCGGAAAGCCCAGTTTAGGTTGGGGGTGTGACTGTGGGCTCTTGGGGGCAGGGAGAGTTTCCTGGAGCCTGGACTAGAGGGTTTGAGACTTGCCATTTGGGTGAAATGTGGAGAAGTAAAGAGACAGTGTTGCCAACCTGGGATGGTGAGCAAGGGAGAGAGACAGGAAGGAGCCAGATGAGCAGTCGATGCAGCAAGGGGCCAAGGGGCAGCTGGGCACCAGGGTTAGGTTAGAGGCCAGAGCTGGGCTGGGCAGAGATCAGTTCCATCAGGCCAGCCAGCCCTTGTGGGCGCAGTTTCTTCTCTCTGGGCTTCTGTATGGGGAAGGTTATTATTCTTTCTGCTTGATAAGGTTGTGTGGAGGTTACATAATGTTGCTTATCAGTTGTCTGTCCACCCAGAATTCAGCTCTTGGAAAACTTACCAAGGTGGGCCCCTAAGGCCTGTAACCACAGGGTTAGGCAGATGCAGAGTGGAAAACTGTAGATTTTAAGGGTAGTGGGCTGCAGTTGTCGAGGTGGAGAGCAGGGGAGGGAAGTCTGAAGCTGGGTCACTGAAGGGCTGAGGCCACCGGAAAACCTTCCTCTCAGACACCCTCTGCAACTTTCCTGGGCACCAATGAGCTGCCTGAGCTGCTCTGGTGACAGCAGGCAGGTACCTCTCAGATGACACGTCCTTCAGGCTGCCTGTGGCCTGCCCTACCTGAAGGGCGGGACTACTCTCTGCTCTGGGTGTCCAACCTGAGCTGGGCTGGGCTGGGCTGGAACGGGAGGCTGGGGGGCGCACAGGAGGGGAGGTGGTGACTGGGTGTCCAACTTGGGCTGGGCTGGGCTGGGCTGGAACGGGAGGCTGGGGAGCGCACAGGAGGGGAGATGGTGACTGACGCAAAGCCTGCCCACAGTTTGATCATCTAGACTCAGAGTGGCTGGGGATGCCGCCGCTGCCCTCGCCTCGCTGCCTCTTTGGCCTGGGAGAGGCTCTCAATTCGATCTACGTGGTCGGCGGCCGGGAGCTCAAGGACAGCGAGAACAGCTTGGACTCAGTTCTGTGCTACGATAGGCTGTGAGCACCCGAGGCGGCTTCTGGAGGCAGGATGGGAGCCCTGGGAACCAAGGAGAGTGGATCCTGGGGACTGAGAGGTTCTAGGGCAGGGTATCTGGGACTAGCAAGGAGTCCTGGGGGACGGGGGGGGCCTCTAGGAGGGGAAGGGGAGGATGGGGCCCTTGGGGACCAAAGGGGGTGGATTCTTGGGACGGGGAGGTCCTGGGGTGAGACGGTTCTGTGGTGCGACTCCTGGGACCCAAAGGAACTAGTCCTAGGAGTGTAGTCCTGGGGTACGGGACGGGTCACTGGGAGTGAGATATGGTCCCAGAGAAATGTTGGGGGCCCAGTCCTGAGGGAAAGGCCCTGGTGTGGGGCGGGGCCTTGTCCTGGGGGTAGGTCTAAGATGGTTCCGGAGGCCTGCACTGGTGTGGACCCACCAGGTGGAGAGAGGGGACTGGATCCCTGGGTAGCGGGAAGGAAGGATGAGCGCAAGGACTTGAGAGGTCAGGGGAGACCCAAGAACGTACCAGCTGTAGCTTGAGTATGTCTTGAATGGGGGTGGCGGGCAGTGAATGCAGAGGAGACCCGCGCAGGTAGGCTTGAGCCAGGAGCCGCCCCTCGTACTACCTCCAGGTCCTTCAAATGGGGCGAATCGGACCCTCTGCCCTACGCAGTGTACGGCCATGCGGTGCTATCGCACATGGACCTGGTCTACGTCATTGGAGGCAAAGGCAGCGACAGGTGAGGTTCCGGATGGTGAGGAGGAGCTCGGTGGCCTAGGGTGAGGTTGGCGGTTCCTTCCTGTCCCCACTCACAGTGTCCACCCACAGGAAGTGCCTGAGCAAGATGTGCGTCTACGACCCCAAGAAGTTCGAGTGGAGGGAACTGGCGCCCATGCAGACTGCCCGCTCTCTCTTCGGAGCCACGGTCCATGATGGCCGCATTTTTGTGGCAGCTGGGGTGACTGATACGGGACTGACCAGCTCGGCAGAGGTTTACAGCATCACAGATAACAAGTAGGCTGTTTGGCTAAACTTTCCCTCTCCACTCCCGGCCTGCATCAGCCCTGTCTGCCCTGGCTAGGGTCACAGACCCAAGTCCAGCCGATTTGGAGCATCAGCTTAGATCGTGCCTCTGAGCAGCAGTGAAGACAAGATCTTCCCTGCAGGCTTCTGAAGAAGGCTCAGGGGGGTGGGGTCAGGATGCCCAGTTCCTCATTTGCATAGTGCTACCAGGCAATAGGCTGGCTCTGGGGACACTGCAGTGAAGAGATAAGAGCTCAGGAAAGAGAAACCATCTGGACCCAGCCTGCAAAGGGGGGAGGAACACTGGAGGGGTGTCCAGGCCAAGGTGGTTAGGCCAAGAGGTGGGGCTCCCTGAAGGAAAGGCCACCCCTCAGGTGGAGGGTAGGATGCTGGTGGAAGGGCTGTGTGTTGAAGGCTGGCACTGGGGCTGGAGAGGTGACCCACAGGGCAAAGAATGCCTCCTAGGAGTTTAGGCTCCCCTCTGTGCGTCTGTGTGCTACTGACATGCCTCACTAGCTGCCACAGGACAGCAGATTAGGGACTTTTTAGTGGCGGGGGTGCAGCTGTGGCAAAGGGTGATGAGGCCTGGAGCTGGGGGTGTGTTGAGGAGGTGCTGAGGGGAAGCACTGGAGGATGACCTAGGACAGGTTCTTCTTAGGCATGGTGGCGGGTGTCGCTGAAGGACTGCATTTCCACCAAACCCCCAACTGATGCTGGTGACTCTGGTCCACAGACCACCCTTTGAGTAACAGGAAGTTAAGAAACAAGAAAGTTATTCGTTGGGCTCAGTGATTGGTTGAATGCTGGGTTTAGTGAAGGGTTGAGTACTGGGCTTAGCAGTGGTTTGGGTATTAGGCAAGAGTGAGGGAAAAGTAAGTGTTTTTGAGTAAAACTGGGAGGCCAGTTGTTGGAGAAATTTTGTGGTTGGGTGTGAAAACTGAAGGTCCATTTGGGATGTGGATTTGGGATACCTGAGTATGTCCAGGAGGCACTCACCACAACAGAGAAGGATGTGGTGTAGGAAGACAGGAGGTCCCCAGGACACAAACCTGAGACAAGCTCCTAGCAGAGGAGGCAGAGCCAAGGACTCAGGTCCAAGCCCTGGGCATGATGGGGAGACACCAGCTTCCAGAGAGCATGAGAAGTGAGGCTGGAAGGATGGAGGCAAGGAGAGTCTCTTAAAACCCTTCATGAAAGCTGACAGGGTCCTCAGGGAGAACAGTTAGAAATGATGGGGATGAAGACCAGCTGCAGGAGCCATGGCATGAAGGCACCTGGAGAGCCAAGGGGATATTGGAGAGAAGAGGGATGGAGCGAACTGCCAGGGGCCACCAAGCTTGAGCCTGTGTCTAGGGCAATGCTGGAGACTGGGGTCTGAGGTCACAGGGATGGTGGGGTGATTCATTCACAGGTTGGATGGAATGACAAAGTGACAGGGAAGGGAAAGGGGAAGAATAGGAGGATGGGGAAGGAGGTGAAGATCAGAGAAAAAGGGGAAGGGAAGGCTGGGGTGATGAGAGAAATGGAGAGCCTCCAGGGTGGGAAAACAGGAGGTTGTCCTGGGAGGGTCAGAACTGGTATTCGAATCACCAAGGGGTGCTGCTGAAGTTAAGGATACTGGGTGGTGGGGACAATGGCTGTGCTTGCTCAAGCCCTTAGGTGACACACCTCTTCCCTGCCCCCACAGGTGGTCCCCCTTTGAGGCCTTCCCACAGGAGCGTAGCTCGCTCAGCATGGTCAGCCTGGCGGGCACTCTCTATGCCCTGGGTGGCTTTGCCACTCTAGAGACTGAGTCTGGAGAACTGGTCCCCACAGAGCTTAACGACATCTGGAGGTGAGCCCAGCCCTGAGGAGGTGATGGGGGAACCTGAGCAAGGCTGATGCTCCTTGTACTGAGGCCAGGCACCAAGGCCCCTGGCAAACTCATGTGAGCACAGATGACTTTTCTTTCAGGGAGTACCCAGGTTAGGCCAGCAAACACACCTGCTGTGCTCCAGCTTCTCCAGTTTCTCATCAGCCCATAGGGGAAAATGTCAGGTGGTTGCACTGTGCCCACTACAGATCATCAGCGTATCACAGACAGGAGCCAATTCCAAACTCAAGGAGCAGGGCCACAGACCTATCTTTCTTCCCCATCTTCTGGTGGACAAATAGTGAGGCAGGGAGTGGGAGGTGGCTGGACCTCAGCTTCTACAGCTGTTTTTTCCATGCTGCTCCTCCTTCACACAGGGGAGAGGTTCCAGCCACCTTAAGGGATTTCATGCATAGTAAGTACAGAGATTCTCAAGAGCAGGGAATTTGTGTGGGGGTAGGAGGAGGGAGTGAGAATGGAGATCTTCCCAGAGGGAGGTGGACTTGGAGAATATGAGGATGCCTAGGAGTGCCTTTTCCTAGAAGGGGGCTGTTGTGAACTGTAGGGCAGCTTTTCTTAGGGTGGCTCTTGCGGGATCCCCTTTCTAAGTGCATGAAGGTTGTTTAGAAACAGATCCACCTGGAGATGGCCTGGTACACCGGCCACCCCTCCTTGTGGTGTTCCTGCCTGGTCTCATCTAATGAAGCTCTCATTCTTGTGCCTCCCCCCAGATTCAATGAGGAAGAGAAGAAGTGGGAGGGGGTCCTGAGGGAGATTGCCTATGCAGCAGGGGCCACCTTCCTCCCTGTACGGCTCAATGTGCTACGCCTGACCAAGATGTGACCAGTGCAGGACCTTAACTGAACCTCCGTCCTGTCCTATGGCCTCATAGACCTGGCCTTATGGAGTTCAGGGAGGAGGCTGGTAGAGGCTAGAGCCCTTCTGGTTCCCAGTATGAACCCAGCGGGATTGCTTCAACCAGAGAAGGGACATCGCTGCCTAGTTCTCCAAGTCCCTCTGGGGCCACCATGTCTCCTTCCAGGCTGTAAAGCCACAGGAAGGCATCCCAGGCTGTATCCTGGCCCTGCCCAGGTTGACTCTGTGTGCCCATAAAGTCTGCCAAGGGACTTGGTGTCCTCGCCAATCAGATTGGAGCGTCTCCACCAATTGCACCTTGAAGTGCCAATCCAGCTCCTTTCCCAGGAACAATAAACCGTCTTCTGAGCAGCTGGCTCAGAGTCTGGAATCAGCTATTACAAGAGCCAGTGTCCAGGATCTGAAGATTTGGGCTTGAATATGTCAGTATTGTCTTGTCAAGGCTGGTGGTCCTCCCCCCATGGCACATCTCCTTCATACCCTGTGTGTGATGACCCTTTCTCTGAGGCCTGGAATCTCAGCCTCCCTGCCCAGCGAGGACAAGGAGCCAGGAAACCGCTATGGTAGAAAAGTCTTTTATTCTATTGGTCGGGCCCCATGACCTGGGTCTGGGGCCCAAAGGCAACAGAGTAGAACCCAGCACTCTGCTCCTCTCCTTACTCCGGCTTCTCTTTGTCCTTGCTCTGTTCATCCTCTTCAAGTGCCAGGGTTCGCTCACGCTCCTTTACCAGTTGAACACCACAGTAGGTGACAAACAGGACAGCCATTGTGGTCTGGGGGAAGCCTGTTGGAGAAGAAGCCATGGATTCCTAGAGCATCCTACCCTAGCAACTCTCAGTCCTCCCCACATACTGAGTCCATTGGATGCTGGAATGTATGTGTTGAGGGATGTCCCAGAAGATCCCAATCCTTTATGTGATGCTGGGCTCATGCTATAACCCCTCACCCCATCCCTCACCTGTAAGAAGCAAGCGTCGAGCAACGAGCTCCGTGAACTCAAGGCTGTTCAGGCTCACAAGGTTGTACATGATGATGGCCCAAAAGTTTATGGCCCCAAAGAGGGCCCGGACCCTACGAGACATCTGCTCTGACAATCGGGCCTGTGGGTCCAGGAACACATTGGCAGCAAGAGGCCCAAAGGAGAAGGAACATGGTCAATCAGTGACATTCCCACTCAGCTCCTAGGAAGATGCCTGGGTATATGGGAACCCTAGACAGGCTCACAGCAGCCCAGAGGGAGGATAAGAACTAACACAGCCAGGCCCTGATCCGTAGAAGGTAGGCAGGCCCAGATTCCCACTGGATGAAGCACCGCCCCAACAAAGAAGGTTTAGGGAGAAAGTTCTGAACTAGGGAACCACATATGTCTGGACAGCTCAGAAAACAGCAATGCCACCCCTCCTGTGATCCAACTGATCCCAACCTGTCCCAGCCCCAGACCTTCCTGCCCACCTCAATTTGTGCCAGCAGCCCACACTCTGCCAACTTCTGCACCCAGAGCTCAAAGTTGAGGCCAAAGCAGTTAAGGACTGACCACAGGTAGACAATGTCACAGGGCCCAAGCCACAGAGTGGTGACAACAAATGTGGCCACAGAGGCTGCCAGCTCTGGGATCACGGAGGAGTGATCCCCACCAATGTGATCATATACATATCTGTAGGAAAGATAGGAGATGTGTGGAGACAGGCAGCAGGCACTGCCCACAGCCCTCCTACCCCACAGGCTTCCCCTCCTGTGCTGTGCTGCCCTCATTGGCTGCTTGGGTCCTCGGACATATGTGGTTGGCTCAGAATCTATGCTTTTCCCTCTATCTAGAATACCATCCCCGAGCCCTCCTCTTCACATAAGCCTGAGTTTAAATACCTCCTCTTAGAAGTCCATTCAGACCCCAGCCAATGAAGCTTCTAGTCAGTAGCCAGCTCCTCCTCACCTATTATACTGTTTTCTTTCTAACACACACTCTAGAATCCTGTGTGCGTTACTTGACCGGTATAAGGTTTGTTTTTCCACACTACACTGTATATTTGTTAGTTCAGTGTCTTTGCCTTGTGTGTTGCTGTGTTTGCAGTGCCTGCCACACAGTGCTTGCCATACACAGTGGATGTTCAATAAACACTTGCTAAATAACTTGATGGAAGACCCATTGTATGACCAGCCTTTCTACTCGCTGACCTTCTCATTTCCAAGGACAACTTCTCTGCCTTACCTTTATCCACTCATTACCATGGTCACGGAAATTGTACCCCTTCCTAATTCCCACTGTGGCCAGTGCAGCTTCATTCTTCACACCCATTGAGTTTGTAATTCTCCAGTCGCTACCACCTTCCCCAACAGGCTTAACAGCCACTGCCTCCTTACAATCTCTCGCTCACCCATCTTAGAGGGTCCAGTCACTGCTGGGAAAGATGAGAAATATTGTCTCCTCAGAGTCCTAAACACCCTCCCTCTATCCCCTCTTGGGCTCTTTCTGGTCAGCTTCATCTCCCTGCTTGGAAATGGCTACCACACCACTGACCTCTTGCAGGTGGGAAACTGGTGGTGGTGGTATGAGCCCTGACCCTGTGTCACAGCTAGAGACCTTGCCTACATCAGCATCTGTGACTACACTGGCTCTTTCTTCTTTCCTTCCTTCCTCCCTCCCCCTCCCTCCATCTCTCTCTCCCTCCCTCTCTTCCTTTCTCCCTTCCTCCCCTCTCCCTTCTCTTCCTCCTCTTCCTTCCCCTCCTCCTCCTCCTCTTCTTCTCTCCCCACTCCTGCCTTTCAGGCAGTCCTCAATCTAGAATGATGTCACCATCTCCTCCCCTGTGGGGACTTGGTTTCATCAGTCACCCTGTGTCCTGCACCTTCCTCAGTGTCAGCATGTCCCTTTACCCCCTGCACCTATCACCTCCCTAAGGCTGCACTCTGGTTGTCTCCTGCAGGCCCAGGCTGCCCCCTGGATCTTGCACACATGCCCCTGCAACTCCCCAGCTTCTGTCTCTGCCTCTGCCCTGCTTCTCAGGGAAAGAGGAGGTCTCATGCCCCAGCCCTTAGTCTTTAGCTTCCAACCTCCTTTGGTGGTGGCAGCACCTGCCTATGTGCCTCTCGTGAACGTACTCTCTCTTTTGGTTTCCAGGGCATCGCATGGCCATGTGTCCTATCCTGCTGACCACTCTTTCCAGGTCCTGCAGATCTTCCTTCTACTCCCACAGAATTTCTGCAAGCCGAATCCTGCTGTCTACCTCTGTTTTCTCACTTTAGTCTCTCTTCTAAGGACTTAGGCTCTCTAAGCCTAGTCCATCCTCCTCCACCCATTCAAACTGCTCACAGTTTATGCTTCTCAGGATCCCCAAATTTGCAGGCTTAAACACCTTCCTGAGTCTCCACAGGATGTTCCCTGAATCCACCCAAGGATGTACTCCAAAGCTTGACAAGGATATCCCCTTAGTCTCCACATAAATGTCCCTTGGGTCTCCACATGGATGTTCCCTGGGTCTCCTCAGGGACACCCCCAAGTCCCTCAGGGATGTCCCCTGAGTCTCCGCAGAGATGTCTCCTGAGTCTCTATAAGTGTACCCCCCTTCCCCCAATGCCAGCTAGACATTCCTGTGTGGAAACTTCCTGTCCACCTGCCCAGACTGTGGGCAGGAATATCAGTGCCACCATCCTCTTCTAGGTATTCCCATTGGATACCACCTTCCATCAAGCTGGTAGCTGTGTCTCTGCTCTCACCACGTCCCTCCACCTCTGGGGCTATCACGAAGTCCAAAGTGCTATGTCTGTCATCTGGACCACTGCCACAGCCTCCTCAGTGCCCCTTGCTTCCTTTGGCCCCCTGAATGGCCCAGCCTGTTTGACCACCTGGTAGGAAGGCTTGGGGTCATTCTCCAACTCACTTGCAAAGCCAGTCATTGATGCCACGGTCAAAGTGCCTGTGGAAAGAGCAGATTGGTGTGAATCCACCATATGCAGAATTTGGGGTACGGAGGAAGAGGCTAGGGGAAGGTGGGGACCCAGTGGTAGACTTCCTGCCTCACTCACGTTTCCCCAAAGACATAGAGAGCAGTGATGCATTTGGGAGGCTGAGGTGGGTCCAGATGGTCCAGGCGTGCTACAGTGTTGACAACACCAAAGAGGACTGCTGCCTTCACCCAGTCATATACGAGGTTTGAATAGGCCAGGCCAGCTAGAGACAAGGCAACAACACTGCCTAGGTTCAGTTCACTGGCCTCTGCCATGGACACTTTGCCACCCCCCCCATGGAGACCCCGCTTCTCCTTGGAAGCATGTGCCAGTCCCTGTCCACACATAGAGACTCCATCCCTGTGTTGAAAATCAGCTACAGCTCTGAAGTGGTGCCTGCAGTTTGGGAGATTTGGGGCATCAAGAGACAAAGCTAATATCATTCCCACACATTTCAAAGAAGCAGTCCCCAGCTCCAGTGCCCAGAAGTGCTGCACGCCTGAGGGTCCATTTCTGGCAGCAGCCTTGCCCCCATCCCTGTTGTGAGGACCCACCGAGGGCGCTGTCTGGGAGACGGCTGGCAAACTTGAGGTCGCTGGGGATGGTAAGGATGTAGAAGAAATGGAAGAAGATGTCCACAGCTACGATGGCCACTGCACTCAGGCCTGCCTGGGCCTGGATGCGCCACAACTCTCCTTCTGGCCTCACTGGCTCCTCGCTCACCTGGGGGCAGGGACCCCTGTCTAAGTGGGGAGCCACAAATGGCTGGGTTGAGGAGACACAGCTTCCTGAGGATGGGATGCAACCTCCTGGGGAACTCTGTCTGAGACAGGAGCCCCTGTTAGGAAAAGGAGACTCTGCCATATTCTGGGAGTCCATGAGGCTCCACTTACCTGAGCATGGAAGCGATCAAAGGTCATGATGGGTCCGAAGAAGAAAAAAGGCAGGTAGAAGTTGTACTTGAGCAGGTCAGCTAGGGAGTAGCGGCGGTCAGGGTGGGCACAGCTCTCCAGAGCAAAGCTGGTGCACCGTAACACCGTGAAGCTGCTGCCCCCATGAAACAGCACGTCTTGAAGATCAAAAGTGCCTGTTACAAACCCGCTCTGGAAGGAGACAGCAGGCCGCCGGTTCACCAGAGGGCCTCATGCCTCTGAGGCAAGTCCCCTTTCCAGCTCCTCACAGGATCCAGCCTAGGTCTGCCAGGTAACATTGGCCAGTGCTCTAACCCTGCCATGTGACAGAGCAGGGGACAAGCAAGGGTGCAAATGACCACCTTACTCAAAGGCTTGAAGATGGGTGGAAAGGTCAAGGAAGTGCTTGGGGATGCTTAGGAGACAAAGCCTTCAGAGGAAGTGAGAGGTTCAGGGTCCTAGCCCTGTCTCCTCCACTCCTGTGCCACCCTATTGTGTACCTGCCAAGAGATCAGGGGGTCCATCTTGAAGGAGGCCAGGCTGGCCAGACCAAGGGTGAGACAGAGCCAGGGCTGGCCCAAGAGTGAGGCCACATAGAGGCCCACACAGTGACCAAGCAGCAGTATCAGGTACCATGGGCCCATGGTACCCAGCACAGCCAGGACTCCATACACAGCATACATCCAAGAGCGGAGCTGTGGACACAGGTGAGCCTCAGTTTACCTCTCTGTACAGACAGGATGAGACCCCAGGATGGGTTTCCCACAGCCTTTGAGGGCTAAGAAGGGACAGGTAGGGGGAAGCAAAGTGGCCCAGGCCTGACTCACCTGGGGGGCCACCATTGTGCACAGTTTGGCAAACAGCACATGTCCCGAGAGAGCAAAGATGATGATGTTGCGGAAGTTGGTGAACCACATCACCCACTCGAAGTCAGCCACATCCTGGACAGCGAGAGCAGGAGGAGATGAGGTAGGTTAAAGCAGTGGAGGGGGAAGATAGGCATAGCCCCTGAGCCAGCCAGAGCCCCAGCTTCATATTCTATGCATGGAATAGACATAGAATATGGACAAAGGACAGCAATGACTGAAAGTGTCTACACTCCCACCTGAGGGAGGTGTCCAGGGACACAGAGAGGGAATGGATGAGGGGCTGTGTGGACAGCCTGACCCTTCAAAGCTCTGGCCCTGCCCTCAGCATGTTGCTGATATTCCACCCTTGTTGCTTTATTCTAGAAGGCAGGTATCAGAGGCCCCTGCTTAAGAGCATCTTGTCCTCGGGGACCCATTTTCCAAATGAACCTGAAGGTTCCAGAGCTCAAGGTAGAGTCCTCCTTACCATGAGGCTGGTTACAACAGGAGCAACTGACAATGGGGAAGGGTTTGGGGTGATGTCCAGGGCTGTGGGAGACCTACCATCTTCCGGCCTAGGTACTCCCAGCCAGGTCGTACAGACTCCCGAAAGGTCTTCCTGTGGGCCCCATCTGAGAACAGAGTGTGGTCTCTGAGTAGGGACCTCTCACATGCCCTCCCTGGGCCACCCCACCCTGGAGAGTTTCCAGGCTGCTGAGCCCTCAGGCAAGAGGGGGTCTGATTCTGCCTCTGAAGCTTTCTGGTCTCGCTGTGTGTCTGGATTCGGGTCCCCATATCCCTGAATCAATTTCTCTCTCTCTCTCTCTGAACCTCTGTTTCTCTCTCTCTCTGTCTGTCTCTGTCTCTGTCTCTGTCTGTCTGTCTGTGTCTGTCTGTCTGTCTGTCTGTCTCTCTCTCTCTCTCTCTCTGTGTGTGTGTGTGTGTGTGTGTACTTGTGTCCCTAGGATTTAGCATTTGACCACATTCCCATTCAGATAACATTTCTGTGCTTGTGAATAATCTCCTTAGTATATTTTTGGTATATGACAACCCTAGGGCCTAGAGAAAGTTCTTGGTGCTGCTGGTTAGAACCCTGAGACCTTTTGTGCAGAAATTTCCAGCCCTCTGCCCCAGGGTCCAGCTGTTACCTTGTGATGCCTCCAGGAGACTCCTGCCAGCATAGGCCAGGGCCCCACTCAGCACCAGGGAGTAGAGACCGAGCTCAACCACTGGCAGTGTTGTCTTGATGCCCATAGCCTGCACAGGGCTGGGGGAGAAGCTGGGGTAAGGACCCCAAGTCCCCATCCCTACCTAGCCTCACCTCATGGAATGCCACACCCCCAAACTGGGGTGGGTTCCCATGAGGGAGTATGTTCCAGCCACTCCTGGGGCCCTGTGTTGCCATTATCCCCACCTGGGGACCCTTCCCTGCACCTGAGCTCTTGTTCACCCCCCACCCCACTGAAGGTCTTGAAAGTCTAGACCTCACAGCCCACTTCCTCTCCCTCTCTAACTTCTTCATACCTTTCTGAAGTGTCCCACCCTTTGCCCAAACTCCTCTTATAAGCCCCCCTCCACACCATGGGGTCTTTCCAAATCTCAGATTTCCTACCCTTCAGTGATCCTCCCTCAGCTCCTGCAGAGCCTGCCCTCTAGACCCTCTCTCTTGCCCTGCTTCCTCCCCAAGAAGCCTTTCCTTTCCAGACCTCCCCTTACACCAAGCCTCCATCCTCACTCAGCTCCAGCCTCTGCCTGACCCCATTGCCCCACCAAGCCTGAGTTCCAGGGCTGCCTCATCCCAGGCTCCTGCCTGTGTCCACCCACTGTCCCCCTCGCAGCGCTGGGCAGTCAAAACCCGGCTGCTGGCTGGAGGCTGTGCTATTTGAGGTTCCCTGGAGAAACAGGTGCTGGGCCAGGCGGGGCCAAGAGGGCTCCGGGAGGGTGCTGGCTGCTGTCCAAGGTGCTGACCGGTATCAGGCCCAGGATGAGCCTGTAGTCACTCCCTCCTGCCTCCACCCAGCTGTTCTGCAATCCTGCTGGGCCATCCCTGGGGCCTGGCCAATACCTAAGCACCTCCCACCCTGCTTCAGAATGGCCTCAGGTCTTCCCAAGGGCTACATAGAAACAGACTCTGGAACTAATGAGAGAAAGGAATGCAGCAAGGTTTTGCAGATGGTTGGGGTCTCCCCATCTCTCACTGCCCACTGAAGACCCTCTTCCAAATTGCAGATCAGAGCCCTCTGGTCCTGCAGCCAAGTCTCCTGGACCCTAATAGTGTACTCCTTGTTACACAGATGGAAAGCACAGGCAAGAAAAGGACAGGGACCCAGTGAAGCCACTCAATAAACCCAGCAACTAAAAGACAATTGCCTTTGGCGAGTCCCTCCAGATTCTTGGATTATAACAGACCATTGCTGGCCCTGCCTGCCTCGGGGAGTTTCAGGTCAGCTTCTGCATCATGGCCTGAGTGCTGAGACACCTCTCCCTCAGCAGGACGGGGGAGGGAGACTGGGGATCAGGTTAGTGGAGCAGGAGTGTGAAACCAGAGCGGATGAAGAGAGCATGAAATAGCTTTGTCAGCTGCCTCCCACTCACCACTTTCCAATTTTAGCTCCCCATGGCCGGTGCGGAGTGTCCCCAGTGAAACCTCCGCAGGGAGCTGGCCCCCAGCCTGAGGCCCCTCTTGTTAGACCCCTGGACCCATGCTGACTGTGGACCCAGGGTGCCCCTTCCCCAGTACCACCTGGCTAAGGTGCACTTGGAGTGAAGCCCACCTTGGGGCCTGTGGTCTGGGATGAAGCCTCTGGGGTGGGATCCACAAGCTTCCAGGGCTCCAGAAGGGCTGTACACCCAACTTGTACTGACCTTGAAGAAGTTGCGAGGGACCCTGGCACACTGCCCACCTCGGGGCTCCGGGGTCCTGTGTCTGACCGTGAGTCTGTCCGGCTGGTTGAGCTGTGGGGCCACAGTGGGGTGTGTCCAGCTCTGGGGTCCCCACCCCCTGCAGGCTTGATCGGTGAGTGGTGACAGCAGGAGGAGGAGGGGGAGAAGGAGGGCAGGAGGAGGTGGCCTTCCTGGAGCAGAGCAGAGCGTTGTGGAGCAGAGCCGAGAGCTGCAGTGCTGCTGGCCACAGGGAGCCGCAGGGAGGATGCGGGGGGCGGGGTGGAGGAAGGAATGGGTGGTTGGATGCACAGGCTTAGACAAGGGCACCTGAGCCTCACTTTACCGGCCTCCTCTCAAACCTGAGCCTGTGCCCTCCTCTATGCTAGCCGGGACGCCCCTCTTCCAGGGTGCTAGTAGGTCCTGCCCACCATAGCCCCTCCCAACACACATATGGCTTGTGCAAACTTGTACACCTGGATGCCATGACTCCAGCCTCTTATCTTTACTTGTGTGACCTCTCAAGGACTGTCCAGAGCAGACCCATCTAGTCCTCTGCCCTGTTATTCTGCATCCTGCAAGAACCAGGGCTAGACAGGCATGAGTGCCTAGAGCTGACTTGCCTGCTAGAAATGGAGATGGCATGGGGCATGGGACTGAGGGGCCTTGTACTCCATCCCTGTCTGCACAGGGAGTTGTCTGGGCAGAGGGGTGTCAGCAGGGTCACTTGGAATGATAATGTCCTCTTGACAGCAGGACAAAAAGTCCTAATGTAACATCCCTGAGCAACTTCAGCTCCTGCTGGGGAGGATTCCCCTTGACAGGTTTGATCTTGAGCGCCCCTCTGGGATGAGACCCCCACAGTCTGGAGAAGCTGAATGTGTGTGTCCTGTCTATGGGGCCCTGCTCACTATACACAGGCTTGGGGAAAAGGTCCTGGGAGCTTTGTGACTGTTGTCCATCACAGGACTGTCCTGGAGCTCCTGCACTAGGCTCAGTTGAGGATGGACAGAGAGGAAGGTGTGGCTCCACCGAGCAGGGTCCTGTGAAAATCCTGGAATGGGGGCAGAGGCTATGAGCTTCCTCCTTATGCAGATACATAGGCCCAGGAGGGCCCCCCACACCCTCTCTTGAGCATGACTTAGAAGCCATATTACTGGCCTCTGATCCTAAACAGTGTGCTGAGCAGGGGGTGTTGCAATGGAGGGTCTGGGCCAAGGCTGTAGTTGGGATCCTGACACTAGAGAAGGCCAGTATCAATGCAGGAAGGGAGCCTGAGCTGGGTTCTGTCTTCCTAGGCAGGTGGGGAGGGGGCACCAGAGCAGCATGGGGAGGTAATACTCAGTGGTTATCAGGAGTGGTCAATCATCCAGCCAGGATGCACACAGAGAGCAGTTCTTTTATTCTTTTTTAATGCTGCCACAATCTACAGGGATCATCCACAGTCAGCAGAAGAGGAAAATGAGGTTCAAGGTGGCTGAGTAGTTAGGTCAGCTCCAGAAGTTTCTGGAGCTGGCTGCTGCAGGGTGAGAACACAGCTCACCCACACCAGCTGAGACAGACCCATCCACTTAGGGTGTCATGTAGTACTTTTCTGGGATAAAACCTTCCATATGAAGGAACATTCCTTAAGATTCAGGAAGTAAACAATCAAAAGGCTTCAGGAGTCCCTGAAAACTGACCAGATGCCCTAGGCTCCTCCCTCTTCAAGTTTATATAAGCAGTGAAGACAGCAGAAAGACGCTCAAAGAGGCCGGGTGTGGTGGCACACGTCTTTAATCCAAGCACTTGGGATGCAGAGGCAGGCAGATCTATGTGAATTCAAGGCCAGCCTGGTCTACATAGTGAGTTCCAGGCCAGCTGGGGCTACAGGGAGAAAAGACAAAAAAGGGGGGGGGGTGGAGAAGTGGAGTCCAGATGCCCAAAAGAGATACTCTCCAACCTGTTGAGCTGCCTGCAGGTTGTACAGTGTGCTCCAGGCTTCCCGCTTTCATGAGCTGTTACCCATACAGGGGTGCACTTTGGTGATGTGGCTGCCTTTTAGCCACTTCTGCCCCCCTAAATAACCCCAACAAAACTCATTGGTCACCAAGTTGGACTTTGGTGGTACTCTTACCTTGGTTTGTGGTTGGTTCCCTATCTTGGGTGAGTAGAAATTTGTTCGCATCTCCCCAAGAACAATGTCACATAATACAGTGCCCTCAGGAGGCACCAAGAGAACTGAAGAGTTGAGGCCACTGTTTGGGCTTCAGAATTTAATTTGGAAAGCAGACACACTGTGCCTGGCCTCCCTAGGCACTTAGGGGATCCAGTGGTTCACTCCATGAGCACAGCTCATTGCCCATAAAGGCTGATGAGGAGCAAGACCCAATGTAGGGCCCATTTAGCAGTGACCCCAACACTGTGGCCTGCAGGGGTGTAGCTTGTGGGAAGGCAGAGGGTCGAGGGGAGAAGACTGAGGCTCTCCACTTGTGCTGGAGAAGTAGAATGGGGCCTCTGGTTTGACTATCCATCAAAAAAAGGACAGGAAACTGACTGGGCTGAGACCAGAACAGGACCAGGATCAGGATCCACTTCCCAGATGCCTCAAGAGCCCCTAGGAAAAATACATGGTGGAAAGAGAGAGGGATTCCAATTCTATCAAGTCTCAGAGGCCCTTCAACTTTAAAAAGATTTATTTTTATTTTATGTGTATGAATGTTTTGCTTTCATTTATGTATGTGCACCACATGTGTGCAGTGCCCGTGGAGGCCAGAAGCGGGCATCAGATTCCCCTGGAACTGCAGTTATGGACCATTGTCAGCTGCCATGTGGGTACTGGGAACCAAACTCAGGTCTGCAGGAGCAGCCAGTGCTCTTAAATACTGAGCCATCTCTCTAGCTCCTCAACTTTTAATGTGTTGCTTCTCAAAGTAAAAATGGCCAAGTGTCCTCTGGGTGTGCTCATGATGAATATATATGCGTGTTATATGTATGGACAGACATGTTGTGTGTATCTGAGCATGATGTGTGTTGCATCTATATGAAGGCTCTGGGAAACCTTAATGGCATGTGGAGGGGTGGCAGGCAGATTTCTCCATGGCTGTTGTCTCACTGGGGCCTAGTAAGGGCTTGAGGACGGGCTGCTTTTGGGCACTCCGGTGGCTGAAGTCCACCCTGCCTGGACTCCTAGGGGACAGGGGAAAGGCCCTGGTGACAGTAGAATGTGTTTGGGCCAGCCGGCACCAGCTTGCAAACCTTATCCTAGAGGCCCCTATTGGGACAGTGGCCCATTCACATCCACAGTTAACCAGGTGTCTTAGTCAGTACAAGAACCTGAGCCTCAGATCCACAGCACCTGCCTGGGATGTGGCCAGGGGGTAATTCCATAAGGTCACTCCTCCACCTTCCATTTCGTCGCCCCATCCCTCAGTTTTCCAGGACACCTGCACCCCTCCCTTCTTATCTGGCCCACATGCTGAGGGATGGAGGGCTCTTCTTCAGGAGCTCCAGGAATAGACTGTGCTGTCCAGGGAGACACAAAGTGGACAGACAAGCTGCCCTATGCCCCACCTGGCCCAACTGGGTGAGAGCCCTTGGAGTCCCAGTCCTTGGTTCCATGACAATCTCACCTTCCCTTAAGAGTCCTTCCAGGCTCTCTCTCTCTCATGGGAAGGACAGCTGGGGTTGGTGAAACTCCTCCATGCTTGTTTGCATCCTTTTCCCCACCCCCCTCCATGCTCCCGACTGGGCCACTTTCACTTCAGATCCCCATCTCTGGCCTGGCAAGGCTGGGGTGGTGCTCACTGAGTGCCTGGTGTGTGAGTATGAAGCAACCTGTCTCCCCATCTGGCCTGGGGGTGCTTGGTGCTTAGGGAGCATGGTTGCCTCATCTGGCCTTGGAGTGCTTGGTGCTTAGAGAGTAAGAGTAAGGTTGCCTCACCCTTGGCACTTCTGTGCCTGGGGCAAGGCTGCTCAACAAATATGTGTTGGCCTTACAGGGTTACGGATAGCTAGCATTTGAGTGACTACTGTGTGCCAGTAACTGCTAAGCACTTGACCCATTCTAACTCAGTGAATGCTGAAGGAGTTCCAGTGAGGGACCATGGCAAGGTTTGGTCTCCCTCAGCCAGCAGTGCTGGGGCAGTGGCAGCCGAGGTAGGGGATGGATCCTAGCACATAGCTCCACGCAAATTGTTCAAGGTTGCCTGGAGGATCTATAATTGTACAGACTGGCCTTTAAATCAGCACCTGTAAGAGCTGGCCTATGTCAGGACTGCCCACCCAGACTGACTCTGACAGATGCCAGTCGGCCACAAGGTATAAATAGGAGTCACTATGCTTTCTCTCCATCTCTTCCACTGTCATGGGATGAAACAATCTATGGACATGTATTCCTTGCACAAAGTAAACAGCAAGGTCAGCAGCTGAATGTCTTGGGGTCATTCTTCCACACCCATGAATGGCCATCCCAGTGAGGTTTCTACTGCTTTTCCATTTCATAGATGAGAACAAGGAGACTGGGGAGGTTAAATAATCTGTCCAGGGCCACACAACTGTTGAGTGGGAATGCAGATCTGCCTGGGTCGTAGCTAGGGTTCAGGCTGCATGAACTGGAGCTCTTCTTTCCAGCTCAGCCCAGGCTGGAAGCCTCAGCAGAGTCATTCTGCAGCGGCCAGGGCAGGGTCCTACTCACCTGTATTTCCCTTCATGACCCAAGGGAGGCTGGCTAGTCCTTGCCTGCTTCTCATTTCTGGGGGCTCTGGCACCTGCACCAGATTACACTGGGCACCAGATGCCCAGACTACACTCAGGGCTCCCCAGCACCTGCAAATGGAGCCCATAATTCTCTTTTTCTTTATTGTCACACACTGCCCCTTCCCAGCACAGGCCCTCCTGTCTTTTCTCCTCCCTACCTATTGTCTGTCACAAGGAGCTACTGGAACACTCTTCCTCCCTAAGACCCTTGGCACCATTTGAATCACCACTTTGTCCTAATAGCCTTTGCTACATCTTGCTGGTGATCTATGACCTGTGTAATACAGGCAGGCCAGGGTTCTCTGGGCAGCATGGATCCCTCCACAGGCTTCTGAGGACCAGTTGAGCATATAAGGTCCCAGGAAGCCCAAGCTTTTCAGGGAAGAGTTCTGACACGGTGTATCATGTGCAAGCTGCCCACATGGCTGTTTCTCACAGGAGAGTGTATGTCCACTTCCACAGACCTACATGTGTCTACACATGCACATATGTCTCTGTGTGGAGTTACCTGTGAGCACATGCACAGCCACATGCTCCTGACTCTGGGTGTCTATGTGTACCAGGGCCTGTGTGTGCACATGTATGGTTGGTGGGGTTGGTGCTGGGGTTATGGCTATGGGTGACCTTCCCTGAGTCTATTCCCCGCCCCAACCCCCACAAGGCTATAACTGCAGCCAAGGGAATGAGGCTGTTACAGTCACCCAGGTGAGGGGTGTCCTGGGCTTCTAGCCGTGGAGGCACAGCACACTACCCACATGCATGGCCCCACTGACTTACGTTTCCACCCAAAGTCCCTGCCCACCTGACTGTCCTCTGCCTCCAGGCCTGTACCTCTGGGAGCAGCTTGGGGCCAGCAGAACTGTATAGGCTCGGGGCAGGCCCCAGCTCTGGGTAATCGTTCAGCTGGAGCCCCTGGCTTTGGAGTCAGGCTACCAGAGTGACAACTTAGCTTAGCTTCTGTGTGGAGACCCATGCCCTCACCTGTTAAACAAGGCAGCAGTCCCCTGCCCTACTAGAGGACAGTGAATTTCATTTACCACGGCTGGGACAGGCATACACATGCATACTCCACTAGAGCTGTCTTGACTGTGAAAGTAACCATTGTTTTTCCAAGCTTTGAGGCTCTGCCTCTGAGACTAGGCATGGGGGAAGGGATGACAAGAGGTCATTGGGGCCCAGGTGGAGGATTATGGGGAGGGGTGGAAAGCTGAGGGTGGATCCCCCAGCCACAAGCACCGAGGACCCCTCTATATGTGGAGAGCCCATAGCAACCCAGGGCCCGAGGATAAGGGCCACCCACAGCATTCGCTCAAGGGAATGTATCTGTGCTGGGATGGAGTCTCTAAGCCCCAGCTGGGGCAGGATGGCCCCCTCCCCTGTCCAAGCTAGCCTCAGTCTCACAGCCTGGCTGCTGGCTTCAGCCAGTACACAGAGCTGCTTCTGGGAAGAGCCGAGTGGGTGCTGCTTGCACCAGAGGTGGTCAATCCTCAGATGTTGCCCTCCAGGAGTTGGGCCAGCTGCTGCATCCTACTTGTTGGCTTTCTGCTGCCGCAGTGCCTGCAGGAAGACCCCCTTCACCTGGCCCAGGGTCTGGTGGTACATGCGGAAATCCTCCTCTTTCCCCCGCAGGGCGCTGCCCAAGGCGGCTCTCAGTATTCCGTTCTCCTCCATCTGGATGGCCAGCCTGGACCACAGGAAGACAAGGCTGAATGCAGCAAACTGGCAGGTGTTCTGGGGTCCAGGGCCCTGAGAAGAGGCTGTGGTGCAGGCTCAGAGCTCCCTCTGACCCACCTCACCCTCTACCCCTGGTGCAAGCATTCTGACTGGACTATATCCCCAGCCCTTCAGCTCCTCTTTTGAGGCTCAATTGCTGGAGTAGTACCCCAGGATTGATACAGGTTCCCTAGGCTTACTTGGGACTCTGGGATTATGGGGCACTGTGAGGCCCTCTGCAGGCCCATCCTTGAACTGTAGGCCTAGAATTCAGGCCCTTTCAAGGACCAGCCTTCTAGGCAAGCAAAAGTCACCCATGCAAGGGACATGGTCCCTCTACCCACAAAGGCCCCATGCAGGCATCTTTACACTTTCCATAAGGCTGGGAGGGAAGCACCTGGCAGTCAGCTCCTCTATCTGGGATTCCATGGGCATATCCGAGAGCTGGGTGGAGGACAGGTCCTTTTTCCCGCTTCCAGTTGAGTTGTGCCTGGTGCTGGAGGCAGATGGGCCTGTGGGGCGGCAGCAGCCACTTTCTGCAGTGAGGTCATCTCTGTGGTAGCTTCCCTGCCTTCCCTCCATGCCCACCTCCTACAGGATGCAGGACAGGGCCACCTCTCTCTAGAAGCCCTCCCTAACTGCTCTCCACATACCCAGCCCTGGCTTTGACCTCTGCCCAAGCCCTGGTTCTGCCTGGGGTGGTCTTTACCTGGCCATTTCATCTTTATTTTTCCGCATTTCTGTTACTTTCTTGCAACAAAAGAAGCCAGCAGGCAGGGCTAAGGAATGTGCTCAAGTCTCCGACTCCCACATGGCCAAGTCCCCTCAACTGGTCTCTAGTCACACCAGTGGCTTTATACTAGGAAGCCAAAGGTGACTGGGTTCAGTGGCCACAGAATGCACAGAGAACCAGGGCAAAGCTATTTGTGATCTTGGTGGACATCATGGCTGAAAGCTTTCATGTTAAAAAGGCCTCAGGAAACCCCAGGCCATATAGACCTGGCCTTCACCCCTGCTGTTTGGCCTTGGGGAAACCATCAGTTTCTCTGAGCTGGCCTCCTTTATCTGTAAGATGAGGAAACAGCTGTGCACATTTGTCCTCAAGCCCTGAACGATTGGATCAGAACCCCTTCTTTGACTTCTCTGATCTCACCTCACTCCCTGCTCCCACCTCTCAGTCTCCTCACCTCCTTGACGTTCTTCTGAGTTCAGGGAAGCTTCATCACAGTGCCTTTGCACTTGCTGGCCCCTCATATATGCAGGCCATACTCTTCCCTTCCCCCTACCTCTGCTCAGATGTCTCCTCAGAGAGGTGGTTTCTGTCTCTGGCCTCATCTCAGGGGCTGTCCAAAGGCTGGTGGAAGGTGGCAGTGCTGGGCTACTGAGAGGGCGAGAACTCTACCCATGTCACAGCCCAGTGAGTGGCAAAAGCTATGTGGGCCCTTCAAGCATTTTGAACCTCAAGTGGGAACTGCTTGTGGACAGGGGTGGAGCCCAAGGAAGGAGTTTGGGTCTCCCAGCCTGGAAAGGCCACCTGAACCCTGCTTACAGGAGGTTGAGTATCACAGGCAGTGTGGCCGCCCCAGCGGACTGACTTTGCCCAGGACCAGCTTTTAGTAGGGCTCACTTAGGGCCAAGCGAGGGCTCTGGCAGGTGGCACAGAGGTTAGTAGCTGAGGGCATCCTACAGGGGGACTGTAGTCTCACGCTAAGACTCCCAGACAGCGGCTCCCATTGGGCCCTGTGTCTCTGGGAGCCAGGTTGTGTGATGGATGAGGAGCCACCATGGCAGGGCAGGCAGAGCTTCCCATTCGTGAGCAATCCCCGCCCCCGCTCCCGGCTCCTACCTGGCTTGCTCTGGGTGGATTTCTGCGAGGCCGAGGTCCTGGCTGGCTCCAGGCGCATCTTCTCCAGGTGCTGTTCCAGCAGCACCGCACGCTGGCGCTCCTCCTGCAGCCTCCGCTCAGCCTCCACCAGCTTGCTGCTGCTCTCTTCCACCCTGGCCATTACAGACACGCTGCACATCCTGCAGGCAGGGGCCACCACACCTGCTTCTTGGCTCCCACAGTCAGCAGTGGGCACACTAGGCTGGGGCTGACCCACCTCACGCTTCTGGATGTTAGTGGCCGGCACACCAATGCATGGAACGGCATTTAAAACCCATAGTTCTCTGCAAGCTTGCGATGGGGAACTGGTAGCCTTCCCACCTCTTCCCTCCCAACTCCTGCTCCTCAGAGCAGCGTGTTTTGTTGCTTCTAATGCTTTCTGCCACATTTCCATAGATCCCTATGCCGGCATGTTTGAGGCTTAAACACAGGTTTTAGTTTCTGATAGCACAGAATGAGAATTTAGTTCTATTTTACTATTCCCCTACCTAGCTCAATCACCTTTCCCCTTCTTGGTTGAGTTGATGCTCGGTGGTATAAGAGTTTTCTATTGCTGCAATAACAAGTCCACCACAACACTAGTGGACATTAATTAGCAAAATTACCCTAAGACAACCCAGATTTATTAGCTCACAGTTCTGAGAGCCAGCAGACTGCAGGTACCACAGGCTGAAATCAAGGTGTCAGCTGACCTGGGCTCCTATCTGGAGGTGCTGGGGGTAGAATCTGCTTCCAGCCCATTCAGAGTGTGGGCAGCACCAATGCTGGGAAGCTGAGGGACTGGCTGTCTCCCGGTCTCCTGCTGTGTGCTAAAGGGCACACCTCCTCCCCAACCTTCAAAGCTGGCTCTCAATTTCTGACCTGATTTATTTCCCAGGTCTCTCTTGAATGGCCTCAGGTAGCAACATTTCTCTGCTCTAATGGATTCAAGTGATATAATTCAGACCACCCCTAATCCAGGATAATCTTCTTATTTTAGGGCCCATGATGCACTATGAAATATTCTCAGGCACAGCAGGGACACAAATCCCTGCCTACCACAGGGTACAACTCTTTAGAGCCAAGGCACACAGTATACCAGTGACCACATTTCTTACTTATTTGTTGGCTTTCCTGGTGTTAGTAATTGCCTTTGTTTTTGTTTTTGTTTTTTCTCCCTGCCTGTTAAATTCACAGGCCTCAAAAGACCTTGTTACTTGGTCATTTCACATGCGAGATTTCTTTCGTCTCACTGGGACTTGCTGTAGCTCTGAAAGGTCATGACTTAAAGATTCAGCTAGAAGGCCAGGGATCTCTGAGATCCATCCAACATAAATAAAGGGTTACTATGGAATTTGTCAAATCAGAGCCACAGCCTGGAAATTCAGTGTTGGGTGAAATGATCTTTTTGTGTTGGTGAAGAGACAAAAAAGGGTAGGAAGGACAAGAACTTTGAAGAGAAATCAACTACTAACCCAAGACTGCATATTGACAGGCAAGCACAGTAGACAGTGCTAATCACCTTTCTAAAATTTATTTTCAAAAGTAAGACTCAGCCAGGCGTCGTAATGCCTTTAATCCCAGCACCCAGGAGGCAGAGGCAGGCAGGTGTCTGTGAGATTGAGGCCTGCCTGGTCTACATTTTGAGTTCCAGGCCAGCTGGGGCCCTACAGGGAGATTCTGTCTCAAAAAACAAAAACAAACAAACAAAAAATCCAAAAGCAAGACTCAAAACAACCTAAAGGCCCAGCAACAGGACAGATACAGAAGCAACAGCCTGGTGCTCACACTATAGAACACATTGAACTGTGCCAGGCTGTGCAGTGGCTACTGGTCTCACACCCACAGGAAGTCAGTGAAGTTAGTAACGATTATAATGAGGAATTCAGTGGTTCCTGCACACACAGAGTTTCTGAAAGGTACCTGTGGCTAGTGGTGGCCGCACTGACCAGGGCAGATATAAAGTATCTCCACTGACTCTGTGGGAAGCCCTGTCCTATCAATGAAAAAGAGGTAGGCTGTCCCCTGTTCTGTGGATGGAAAAGATATATGTGGGCTATGGACACTAACACTGCTACTCTTCAAATCCAGGTTGGCGAGACAGGGCCAAGGCCATGAGAAGAAAGAAGCAGCACCACGACTGTAGACGGTCATTAACAGTGATATCAGCAAACCTGCAGGCTCACGTCAGCAATTAAGGTCAATTAAGGTCCTGGATGACTGAAAGGGGTGCAACACAATTGAGATTCAGAAGTGACATACAGCTTAGCCTGGCTGCTGTTGACAGTGTTAGCAAGACGACTCTAGTCTATATCTGTTGTCAGCAGAGGTTTGCAGGAAGATCGAGGCCTGCTCTGTTGTGGGCTGTCACCTGGCTGGCCTGCTGGCAGGAAGGTAGCTGCAACCATCTGACCAGATGGAGCCAGTGATGGTGCCTGGGGCCAATACTCTGGGCTCCAGAGTCAGCCTCTTTGAAAACCTACCCCTGAGGACTCACACCAGTGCTCAGTCCTGCTTCCTGCAGGGGCTGAGGGAGAGAGGCACACATCCTGCACATCTACAGCACTCCTGAGCTCCACAGTTGTCAAATGGAGTGACCTTCACTGGCCTTGCCTGTGACACAAGTATCATGCAAAGAATGGGTAGATGCTAGGAAGAAAGTAAGGTATGTAAGGGAGGTGACAGCATTGGCTGGGAGCGCAGAAGTCCACGTGGAAGCCCACACTGTGCCAGCACTGGCAGATCCGTCTGGGAACAGCAAAGTGCTGGGTACAGAGTGAGAGCCAACAGCTTAGGCAAGGTCCAAGCTGAAGATCAGAGCACATGTGTCCTGCCCCCATTGACTAGCAGGAAAGATAGGAGAGAGGACTTAAAAATGCTCCAGTGGGGGTGTGGGGGTGTGGAGATATGGTTCAGGTAAGAGCACTGGCTGTTTTTGCAGAAGATCTGGGTTTGAATCCCAGCACCTACATGGTGGCTAACAACTGTCTGTAACTCCAGTTCCAGGGGATCCAATGGCTCTGTCCTCTGCAGGCACTGCATGGCAGAGGTGTACTTACATACATGCAGGCATAACACTCATACACATAAAAAAAGTGCTCTAGTGGCCAGGTGTAGTGTCACATGCCTTTAATCCCAGCACTCAGGAGGCAGAGGCAGGTGGATCTCTGTAAGATCAAGGCCAGCCTGGTCTACGAAGTAAACCCAGGCAAGATGGGGCTACAGTGAGGCCCTATCTCAAAAACAAAACAAAAATAAATAAAATAAAATAAATAACAAAAAATGCTGCAGTGGAGTTTCACTGAGAGTCGGGAAATATTTTTTTTAATTGTAAAACATTTCTGAACTTGCCTTTCAGAAACATCAGCAGCTTCAATGGTCCTTAATGAGACACGAATCTGTGATTTTGAAGGTAAAGTAAGAAACTGTTCCAGAACCCAGAGCAGAAACAATCCAAGGAAAGGCAGCCATTAGAGAGCATGTGAGAGCAGGTAGGCAGGTCAAAGGGTCCTCTGACCAGGTAACAGGCAGTTCAGAAAAGAGGAGAAAGTGAAAGAGATAGAAAAATTGGAAGAGCAGAAAGTAATTTCTCCAAGCCAAAGGACACCTGGGAATTTTAGGTTGACGGCTCACTGAGTGCAGCTGGTTTTGCCCCTGAACTCCAGGGTCAGGAGGAAAACCTCCCACCTGAGTGCTCCCAACCCGAGTGCTCCCAAGGACGGACCAGGCTTTATAAGAACCATTTCATCCAACTCCCTAAGCAACCAAGAGCATGGACTGATAGATAGCTCAGGGAGAAGCAGAAAACCTGTAGTGGACAAGAGGGTTCGCAGTCCACTTCTGGAAAAACCATCAAGTCACGGTGCTCCTCTGACTTCTACAGAGCTGTCATTCTTGGTGTTCTGTTTTGTAATTGTAGAGTGGCAGGTGGCTTCCCACTAGCATAAAAACAACTGTTCTCACAGTTAGACAAGGGCAGATGTGTTAGGCTTATTTTTTAATTTTTATTTTATGTGTATGAGTGCTTTGCCTGCATATATGTAAGTGCATCTGTGTCATGCAGTGTCCACATAGGCTAGAAGAGGGTGTCGGATCCCCTTGTCCTGGGTTTATAGACAGTTAGCCACCATGCGGTGCTGGTAACAGAACCCAGTCCTCTGCAAGAGCAGACAGTGCTCTTAACTGCTGAACCATGTCTCCAGCTTCAGGTTGGCTTTTAAAAAGTTTTTCATTGCATTTATTTATGAGAGAGAGAGAGAGAGAGAGAGAGAGAGAGAGAGAGAGAGGAAACAGAGGTCAAAGAACAATCCACCATATGAGTCCTGGGGATTGAATTTAGGTCGTCAGGCTTGGCCATAGGCACCTTTACCTGAGCCCTCTTACTGGTGCCAAATGTTAGTTTTCTTTTTCTGGTCTTTTTGAGACAAGGTCTCCCCATAGCTCCAGTTGACATGGAACTTACTATGTATACCAGGCTAGACTTGATCTCACAGAGATCTACCTATCTCTGCCTCCAGAGTGCTGGGATTAAAGGCGTGCGTCACTATGCCCAGCAAATATTATTTTATTTATTTTTATTATTTTTACTATGTGTATGAGTGTATTGCCCGCATGTATGTAGTGCACTTGTGTCATCAATGCCTGAGGAGGTCAGAAGAGGGCATTGGATCCCCCAGAACTGGAGTTCTGCAACTGGAGTTTAGCCACCATGTGGGTGCTGGGAATTGAACCCGGGTCCTCTGCAAGAGCAGCCAGTGCTCTTAACCACTTGAGCCATCTCTCCAGCCCAAATATTAGTTTCTTATGACTGCATGACAAGTTGCCACAGATTCACTGCCTCTAAACAATACAAAACTTCCAGAAAAGTCCTACAATTTAACAGCAACACAATTTAAGATAAAAAAAAGTAGGCCAAAACTTCTATGGATAAATAAGGTGTGCTGAATAGCTCCAGTTGTCAACGTGACACACCAGGGTAGAGGAAACCTCAACTAAGGAACTTCCTCCTTCAGACTTGCCTGTGGCCATGTCTATGGGACATTTTTTGTTGTCACTGTGGGTGGACCACCCCTGGGCAGTTGTCTCCTTGCTGTATAAGAAAGCAGGCTGAATATAGACCAGGGCAGCAAGCCAG